TCCATGCAATTACAATGAATGAGGAGCTGAAGCTTTCAAGCTTCAAAAGGACCCCAAACTAAACCAACCAAAATATGTACAAGAGGTTTCAAGAGAGAAGTAATGTCTGATTTGCGAACAAATTATTCAGAAATTTTGAGTTAATCGGTTGGTCACGTAGGCAAAATCTTTCTGACTGATAAATTCACAATTCAGACAAATCTCTAGTCAGACTCACCATCTAAATAAAAGTGAATAAAAACAGAAGAAACAGTTGTAAAGGTTTGAAACAAGATGAGGGTGAGTAAATGACATAATTAGTATTTTCTGTGAACTACTCATTGAAAACTCATTTTACTCAATGATTATGTATCATTTAACAGTTATATTATTTAAGATTAAGAATTATTATTATTATTAATAATATTATTCCTATTATTTTATGGGACAGTACAAAGCCCAGGTGCCCTTCCTAATGTATAAACATGTAAATATCTCAAAGCGTTTAATGTGTATTCTGAATTCAGAGTTAGAAAGAGGATTCAAAACGTGTATTATTTATGAAGACAAAACTATTTTGTTAAATAGACTGAAAAAAGTGTTATTCAGTAAAAAAAAAAGAAAGCCGGTGTATGGATTTTTTTTCCCCTTCCCATCTTTTGTAAGCATATACAACCAGCTCATCTCCAACCAGATGCACAGAGCATCGCCGACACTTATGAGCAGTTCCTACATGCTGACAGGGCAGTATTTTATAACCAGCCATTCATTTACAGTGTGGAAACCTCACATTCCCTCTGTCACAGGGAGAGTCGGGCACATGCTCACTTTATTCTGCTACTGCTAAGAAAACAGACGCCACACTGAGGTCAAAGAGCAGTAAAGAGAGGAACTCAGACCATTACTGTAACTCCACCACAGGTTTACTCATCCATCATTGTCTAGGAAAGCATTAAAGTGCTGATACAAAAGGAGGAAGTGGCACAAAGAAATGCTAGAGCCCCCTAAAAGCTTTTGAAGAAGTGCAACTTTCATAATAAGTAGCAGAGAAAGTAGCCAGAACTGAATTTGCTTCCAATCCTGATGGACCAACACACATTAACATTCATGGAAAGCACTATTCACACACCATTTGTTCTCTAAACGATGTTTTGAGTTAAGTGTTATTCACACAGGACGTCTGTGATAGTGTTACATAAGCTCATGTGTCCACAAGATCATACATAATTAAGGGAAGAAATTAATTAAGGTGAGGATCTTACCTGATGCTTCTACTACTGAGGATCAGACTCTCTGTATTGATTTCATTTTCTTACATCAGATGGAGAATCAGCAGACAGCACTTGAACCGCCAACTGGCAAACAGCCTCAATAATGCAAAGGTTAGCTTAGCTACAATATTCGACAAGTAAAAATAAAAGGCACTACGGCTAGAAATGCATCTATGTTAATATTCTTCAATGCCAATACAGACCCAATATTAAAGGCAGGGTTTTTTGTTATGCTGGCTGAAAGTCTCTTCACATCCTGATAGCAGTCACTAAGTTAAGTGGTCTTAATGTATTTATATGTATATATATATATCGTCTGTGGAAGGCGCAGGACCATAAAATGTTCGTCCAATCATTGGTACGATTTCATAACTGCCGGTCAACGTATATTTCACACTACTCAGGCAGACATCACACATCATCAGCACGTTTCATGCTAGAGTTAGACAGACCTCAGACACCGAACACCGCAACCGAAACAGCAGACACCTTTTACAGTTCCTCCTGGACCCAAACAACGAGCTTATGCACCACACGCACCTACAAGGTTCACACCATAACTACCGTAATTTGGAAAAGATGGAAACCCGTGACGTTATACTCAGAGCGGTTTGTGACTCGAATATATGTTTTGATGGCAACACTATCAACGGCGAAATGAATCTGCAGCAGTCAGTTGGTACAGGTCATTATTATTGTAATGTTATGTGCTTTGAGACATGAGGTGGTTTAACACCGTCTCTCATGACGCTTTTGTTTGCTCCCTGCTGTACGTGTTCATGTGTTTCGAAGGCGGCGTGGTTTTGGAGACATTCCAGACATGCTTTCAAAGCTAGCTCGCTATTGCTAGCCTCTCTGAAAATTAACTACCCTACCTTTAAAATTCCATAATACTACTTTTGTCTAAATAAATTGAAACACTGAAATTAATCATTTAAAAAGTACAAGTAAATTTAGGTAAAACTAATTGTTATACTGTAATAATGGACATTCATTTCGAGAGTTTCTAAAGATTATATTTAACAGTTAAAATTATTTGTGTGTTTTAAATATTAAATTTAAGGCAGGGCCAAGGCTATGTGAAAATATGGACATGCACAACTGAGTATACGTAGAATGTTAATAAGATATACTATATTTATGAATATACAGCATTTAAAAAATGCTGATATCAGATATAGTGCATAAATATCCCTAGCATAACTACAGTATTGTGATAATGTATTATGTGTTATTTTAGTATAATTAAGATACCATTATATAATAGTTTGAATTAGAATTTATTTAATTTTTTTCCATTTTCATTAGAGTTAAAGATTTGGCAATGTTGTCGTGTTTTTGTCATTTTTATTAGTGTTAAAGGAGAACTCCGGCGCAAAATGAACCTTTGGTTTAATTACACATTGTTACCTAGTCAACCGTTATCTGAGATTTGTTTTCATGATTATCGAATGTAAATAGTTTTATCTCTAAAAACAGTTTAGCCTATAAAGCTAGTATAACGCTAGTATATTGGGCATAGTGTAATGACAAATAAAAATCGCTTGTTAATACCACTAAAAAGGCTGAAAATAGCCCCACACTAACACGGTAGCATAATGAGGGTCCCTACCTTCAAACCGAAGCATTGAGAACTTTGTCAGTGTCCAGACAGTTTAATAAGAAGATATTTTATACATACAGTCAACTTTGCATATACAGGCACAAGCCATCTTTGAAATACAGTCTTTACCAGTCGATCTACGAACGCCGATCCAAGCCTGCTGTTCGCGCTCACCTTATCACAACTTATAGCTCGTTCACATTCTCACCAGCGCACTTGGATCGGCGTTCGTAGATCGACTGGTAAAGGCTGTATTTCAAAGATGGCTTGTGCCTGTATACGCGAAGTTGACTGTATGTTTAAAATATCTTCTTATTAAACTGTCTGGACACTGACAAAGTTCTCAATGCTTCGGTTTGAAGGTAGGGACCCTCATTATGCTAGCGTGTTAGTGTGGGGCTATTTTAAGCCTTGTTAGTGGTATTAACAAGCGATTTTTATTTGTCATTACACTATGCCCTATATACTAGCGTTATACTAGCGTTATAGGCTAAACTGTTTTTAGAGATAAAACTATTTACATTCGATAATCATGAAAACAAATCTCAGATAATGGTTGACTAGGTAACAATGTGTAATTAGACCAAAGGTTCATTTTGCGCCGGAGTTCTCCTTTAAATAAAGTTAAACTATAAGAAAATGAAAATTAAAGTTTTTTATATCTTTTTTTTTTTTTATCACAAAAGTTTTTTATTATGGTTTTAGTTTTATTTGTATAATAACCCTGGTCAGAGGATGCCTGAGAAAAAAACTGTTGGTAACTTAATTAAATATTACCAAGGTTATGCAAGATACACATTTGAATCAGATGAGAACGAACCTCAAAAAGAAAAACTAGGCTATTCTGAAGACTAGACTTGAGACATTCTCTAACTGAAATCCAGTTAAGAATCATTCAATTCATATAGTGAAGAAAGCTTGTTTTGCAGCAGAACTACCCAGACATACAAAGAAGATCAATCTTCAGTAGTTCTGAGATTTATAACAGCCTGTTATTCATCAGCATCTGTTGGGTACTATAAGTCTAGGCGATAATTATAAAGTTAGATCTCCAACCGTTCCCTTTAATATAAATTCTGTCTAAAAAGATTATATTGGATGAATATAAAAGCCAGTGTTCATATTAAAGACATCTTCAGACATACTGTAAAACAAAAGCAACATAAGATCCAGCATAGCAAAAAACAATGCATAATGAGTAACTTTGCCCTCAGGATTGTAGCTGTCTGCACACATTGCTCTGTAAAAGTGCATTTGAAAGCTCTTGACTCTTAGTAGTGAGATGATAAAGTTTGCAAAGTCAGGTGTTAAGAGTTAAGGGTGCATGTTTCCCTCTACCCACAGGACCCTCAATACCCTCCAATTAATCACCCCACGAAACCCTGTCCACACCACTAATTGCCTCCCTCCACGTCCCTGCAGGACGAGGGCGAAGCAATTTAATGCAGCTCACAGCAATCAATAGCAATTAGGAGCATCCCTGACTAATCCCATTGAAAGCCGCGTCTTGGGAGATGGCCAAAGAGGACCAGAAATCTTTCATTTTTAACCCTTGCAGAAACGAGAAGCAAAGAAAACAAAAACTTGCTTGTTTGAAAGCCCCAAAGGTTTGAGAATGAATCGCTCTTTTTCTCTTCATTCATCTCTATGGATATTTTTTTTCCCCATCTAATCTAAATGCCACCTCATCATCTGTAGAGTCACAGAAAGCCAGAATCCCATTATCTGTCCTGGTCTATATGAATATCATTTGGTTTTTTTTTTTTTTAAACAAAAGCCATCTAAGCAATTAGCATTGCATTTTAAAGTCTGATGAAGAGGTAAGTTTTGTCTGGGGGAATATAAAACAAAATCCCATTAGATCTCTGAACGGTTGGCACACAAGTTGCGAGTCTGCTCCAAATAGGTCGTATCCTAACAATGGCAAACATTTAAATTTTTTTCTAGCTTTCGTAAGGCATAATTTGACAGAGAAAAAAAGAACAAGCACAATAGACTCTAAAAAGCATGCAAATACTTTCTCGAGAGATTTGCCACGTGACTTGAATCTTCAGGGGATAGTCAGGCCCTTTATTTTGCCTCGCATACAAAAGCTTGATGAAAACAGAGCAATTATAATGTCTCTATCTTCAGATACCGATAAAAACGAATTTCTTTTATGCAGATAATAGGTTTTATTTGATGTCATGAAGTTGAAACAGTTGTACAGCAAGGATATGTTGGTCTAGGGCTCCGGCACAGGCAGGAGCTGGAAGGCAGCTATGCAGCCCAGAAGCCACGTGGATGGAGCCGACCACACCTTACCTACTCGGACCTTCTGGGGTTTGTAGGAGTTCTGAGGATCATATAAGATATACTGGGTGCAGAGAATCTGGTCTGAACCTGGCTGAGCGTGGTAGGCCGCTGCGCTCAGGGTTTGCGTGACATCACTGTCAGGCTTGGGCTGGCGATTCAGAAGCTGACCTCCTCCTGCTTTCACTAACTGAAGGAGCTCATGTTTAGGCGGTTTGAAGAAGGAGCCCAGCATGTAGAAGAAGCAGCCATCAAAGAGTGGAGGCAGCTAAAGATGTATGAGAAAAGGAGAACAATTTAGTACATAAAGCATCAATAAAATACCTGAGTAATCAGTGAAGACATCCTAAAATGGCCTGCGTTGTAATTATTGGCATTTTGTTGAGCCTTTGCCATTTTGATAGTGGAAGTGACAGGACATTATTGGAAAAAAGAGGGAGAAAGCTGACTGGGTCCCACAACGCGCCAGATTTGAACCCACAATTCCCATGAGCAACAAAGCTCAATGTCTCTGAAGTGTGCGAACTGCCAAGTCACAATTCAGACAGAAATATTAGCATTTTTAAAGGTGATGCATGAACACTGGTCATCATTTTTCACCAATACATTTCCAAGAGTGTTCCAGTCTTTTATATAGAAATGTCTAGCTGTTTAAAAATGTTATGTCCCTGATTATACCATGACCACAGAAACCCTTAAAATAGAGCGCTTCACAACTAAAAGGGTAACTAACTACCTGCCATAAAGAGATAAAAGCAGGTGTAAAGAAAGTGCTACATTATGGTTCAGCGAAAATCTGAGCCACTTTCGATGCCATTAATGAAAGCATCTGGCAGGTCATCTGGGGTTAAGTGACAGGCTTCTGCTCTGGTGTGGTCTGGATGGTTCTGGGACAATGCCAGCTCAGGGGAGCTGTAAGATGCCTGTAAGATGTGGGTCACTGGCACACACTTGTTGAGAGGTCAACACGCTTGTCTCAGGTCATTACAGTTGCACGATAACCAGGACACACTTGCAATTTCACACAAAAAACTGCACAATTCATCAAATGGAACACATTCTTTCCATTTGCTTTTCCTGCAACTAAAAAAAAAAAAAAGAAATTAACCATTTTATACAGCAAGGATGAATTAAATTGATCAAAAGTGACACAAAAGACTTCTACAAAAAAAAATTATATACTTGAAATGAATGTATATTTGAAAAAAACGTTCTATTAATCAAAAAATCTGTATCGTGGTTTCCACAAACCTGCCAAATCAGCAATTTAGAATGATTTCTGAAGGACCATGTGACACTGAAATTCAGCTTTACCATCACATGGATAAATTACATAATAAAAATGGTTCAATAAATGTTAAAATATAGTGCTTGGTGAGCACTAGATTTCTTTAAAAAAGCATTCATAAAATCCCAAACTTTTGGTTTGTAGTGTATGTATTGATATTCTATACATCAATTTTTTTTCTCTCCAATATATACTGTATATATGCACCAATATACCAATTTACAGTAATAAACTTCCATAATTACCCACATATTTTTACCAAAATATTCAATACCTTCTGTGATCATTTTCAAGTGATAAGGCAAAATCATCAAATCAGAGTTTGAATCTGAATTTATTCTAACTCGCCCTCTCAATCAGCATTTTTGCTACTGAAGTTTAATCAGAAGTGCAATTAAAACATCTTAATACGGACGTAATAAATCGCAAGTAATTAGACAAGGAATGCATCCGCAGCTGGCCTTCAGAAACCATCATGGACAAATAGAATGTAAAGCCATTTCCATGTTTACAAATGTTGCTTAATTTTACATAACCATCAAAATCATCAAAAATGTATTGTGAAAACATCACCTCGCCCTACCACGCATCCAAAACCCTGCGTTTTTTATGTTAAATGACTGCAAAGATGCTGCTATTAAACTGCGTCACGAGTCTTCTTAGCAATCGGAGCAGAACAGCAAGCTTGGCTTCTTTGCTGCATTGCATTTAAGCAGTACACCGTGGCCTAGGGAGATCACCAGTGCCCTATATTGTCTCACAATGCACAGACCTCTCAGAAAGTCACAAGTGTGTTGCCTCCCTTTGAATTCCCTGTCCTCGAGGAAGTGCGTGGCTTTCTAAACAAGCCACAACCCATAGCACAGTCAGTAATAAAAGCCAAGCCAGCCTGAGGAGAACAGATCAACATGGCAGATTGACAATGAGAGACCATTAAAGAGCAGGACCAGGAGAGGGTTTCACTCAGCCATTATTCCTCCTCTCTGGAGAGGAAAATGTGTCGATAACTGTTAGACCCTTCACATGTTGGCCTGTCACTCACCAGGCTGCCTCTGTTCGCACGGGCACGCAGGGGGCCGTCACCTGCCTCGTACTCGCTCTCCCCGACCCAGCTGCCTGCCTGAAGGCTACAACACACCCCTGGAAAAGAGATTGAGAGTAAGAGAGCGAAACATTACAGATCAACTTAGCAGCTATACATCCGCATTTTAAAGGGATAGTTGACCAGAAATTAAAATTCTGTCATTATTTACTCACCCTCATTTTAAAACTGTATGCTATTTTTTCTTCTGTGGAATATAAAAGGAGTTATTTTGAAATAAAAATTCTCACACAAAGATATTGTATGGCTACATAATACTTAAAATATAGTGGCTAATACATTTTTTATAGTTCTTTTACTGTGGCTAATACATTTATTATAGTTCTTTTACTATGTTTTTGGTCTGTTTTGAAGAATGAGTCAAATGGAAAAAAGCTGCCCCCTTTTTTGTTTGATGGGGGAAGAAAAAAAGCACAAGGGCGAGAAAATAAAGACAGATTTTTCATTTTTCGGGTGAACTTCTAAGTGTAAAAGTTTGAAGGCAAATATGTACAACAGCAGTGATGCAACGTGCACTTAAATTCTGCAAGTCTTATGCTGTATTTTACAACTTTCACTTGGGAAAATTAACAGAGCAGGACAAGATTTTCAGGGCAGGAGACGCACACCTAGAGGGGATGATCTCTCATTTTCTCTCTTATTCATTTCTGTCAGGTAAAATTCTTCACAAAACGTCTTCAGCACAATATACTACAAGTGATCTCTCTGCTGCACAAGGCTGTCCAAAAAAAAAAACAGCTTCTGCTTCACACACATAAAAAACAAATCCTCCATCACAAGCCTTTTTCTCCTGCTGAACTTGTTTACAACTATTTGATAGCGTTCTGCTCGGTTTGCCCTAGTTGTATGTCTGGCTGAAATGGCTCTTTCTTGACTGAAGAGCTCTAGAGTAACAGGCAGCTATTGCCTGTTGTTCCAATGAGAATGACAGAAAAAGGACAAGGGGAATAAATGAGCACCTTGTAGAGCATCTAAAAATATTTATGAAGCCATTTAAGAGAAGAGCGAAGATGCTAGCTCAATCACTCATTGGCTTCTCTAACTGAAAGGCTGTCTTATATGCCTTTATATTGAAACAGGGTTATAAGAGTTTGCCATTTGCCTTTATTTTAATAATATTATAAATATACTTTTGTGTGTGTGTGTTTATATATATATATATATATATATATATATATATATATATACACTCACCGGCCACTTTATTAGGTACCCCATGCTAGTAACGGGTTGGACCCCCTTTTGCCTTCAGAACTGCCTCAATTCATCGTGGCATAGATTCAACAAGGTGCTGGAAGCATTCCTCAGGGAGTTTGGTCCATATTGACATGATGGCATCACACAGTTGCCGCAGATTTGTCGGCTGCACATCCATGATGCGAATCTCCCGTTCCACCACATCCCAAAGATGCTCTATTGGGTTGAGATCTGGTGGCTACAATTTGCAAGAGCTCACCAAAATTGAACAGTTGAAGACTGGAAAAATGTTGCCTGGTCTGATGAGTCTCGATTTCTGTTGAGACATTCAGATGTTAGAGTCAGAATCTGGCGTAAACAGAATGAGAACATGGAACCATCATGCCTTGTTACCACTGTGCAGGCTGGTGGTGGTGGTTTAATGGTGTGGGGGATGTTTTCCTGGCACACTTTAGGCCCCTTAGTGCCGATTGGGCATCGTTTAAATGCCACGGCCTACCTGAGCATTGTTTCTGACCATGTCCATCCCTTTATGGCCACCATGTACCCATCCTCTGATGGCTACTTCCACCATGTCACAAAGCTCTAATCATTTCAAATTGGTTTCTTGAACATGACAATGAGTTCACTGTACTAAAATGGCCCCCACAGTCACCAGATCTCAACCCAATAGAGCATCTTTGGGATGTGGTGGAACGGGAGCTTTGTGCCCTGGATGTGCATCCCACAAATCTCCATCAACTGCAAGATGCTATCCTATCAATATGGGTCAACATTTCTAAAGAATGCCACGTAGAATTAAGGCAGTTCTGAAGCGAAAGGGGGTCAAACACAGTATTAGTATGGTGTTCCTAATAATCCTTTAGGTGAGAGTATATATATATATATATATATATATATATATATATATATATATATATATATATATATATATATATATATATATATATATATATATATATGTGTGTTTGTGTGTGTGTGTGTGTGTGTGTATTTATGTATATTAATATATATATATATATAATAAAAAATAAACTATTTTAAACAAATTAAATTAAAATGAATATATATTAAAAATTATATATGCACACACACACACACACACACACACACACACACACACACACACACATATAAAAGGTCAGTAAGATTTATCTTAGAAACATTATTATAATTTTGTAACATTATAAATGTCTTTACTGTTACTTGTAAATGTATTTCAATTTCAAATAAATGCTGTTCTTTTGTACATTCTATTCATCAAAGACAACAACTATTAGTGGCCAAATCTTCACACCACAAACTGACAAACACATATTAACAGCAAACACACACACTCTCCCCATCCTTCTCTCTGCTCTCGGGGGAAGAAGTCTCCAAACTCATCCTTTCCAATCACCCTAATTCCTGTCTGCTTGATCCTATCCCCACTCATCTCCTTCAAGCCATTTCTTCTTCTGTTGTACCTGCACTTCACACTGGTACCTTTCCCACAGCATTTAAGCAGGCTCAGATAACCACTGCTTAACCCCTAAACCGGCAACATCCATCACAGGATACATACTCTTTAATCTCTTGTAGAATGCATGAGAAAGAATTTTTCATCCAGTTCTGTTATCATTATCATAGTTGAGTCTGTTTGTAGTATGTGGGTATGTGTAAAATTTGACTTGGTTCAAATTTTATGTGCTCATTTTTTTTGATCATCAGTAGAAATCTTGTTCCAGGAACGGGGCCCTATAGGGAATATCATTATAGGCTCCATGTACACAGTCCCCTTTCTCAATCTATGTATTCTGAGTTAAAAAATTGTGCAAATGTTAATATTCCCATATAACACTGACATTATTAAGCTCAGTTAACTCCATCTTTGCATTTTTACTGCAGGGTTTCACACGGCTAATTTTATTTTAGAACAGGGGTAATCAACCCTGCAGGACAGTGGACCTCAAGGGCTAGAGTTGCCCTTAGGTTGAAGATAAAACAATTCAGCTCGGTAAAAATACAAGAAATGTGTATGCCTCAATTTTAGGACACTTAGAAATATAATACATGCAATATATTTATCATATTAATTTTTTTTGCAACAAATAAATCATAGAAATATTGATGACTGGCTTTTTTATACCATAATAGGGCAATGTATCTATATATATGTTTTACTAAATTTCAGATGATATAAAGTGACATGAAATTACTTTTTGTTGATCATTTTCCACTCTTGCCTGTTTAAGGGTTAAGAAACCCACTCTAAATCCAGCACTTTTAGAAAACTACAGACCGGTATGCCTTCTTCCATTCATTGCTAAGACACTTGAGAAAGTCACGTTCAAGCAAGTCTCTACCTTTCTCACACAGAACAACCTCCTGGACAATGACCAGTCTGGTTTCAAAAGCGGCCACTCAACCGAGACTGCCTTGATCTTGGTTATTGAAGCTCTGCGACTGGCAAAAGCAGCTTCCAAATCATCAGTACCACTCATCTTACTGGATCTGTCTGCTTCTTTTGACATGGTTAACCACCAGATCCTTCTGTCAACCCTCATGACAATGGGAATCTCACTCCAGTGGTTCAAGTCTTACCTCTCAAGTAGGTCCTTCAGGGTGTCTTTGAAGGGTGAGTGGTCCAAGTTGCAACATCTAGCTACTGGGGTGCCTCAGGGCTCAGTGCTTGGACCACTTCTCTTCTCCATCTACCAATTGTTTTCTTGTTTTGTAAATAAATTGGTTTAATGTTTGAAGAATTTGTTGTTTGCCTCTTTTATGTTGTGGTATATGAGCCAGCCGTAACAGACATCACTAGGATCTGTCATTCAGAAACCTGGCTTTTCCTATGCTGAGGACATACAACTCTACCTTTCATTACAGCCAGATGATCCGATGGTAGCTGCCCGCATCTCAGTCTACATGACAGACATTTATTGCTGAATGAAGGACCACCACCTTCAACTCACCCTTGCAAAGACAGAACAGCATGTGATCTCAGCCAACCCAACACTACATCATAACTTCTCCATTCAGCTAGGTTCGTCATCCATAACTCCTTACAGGACAGTCAGGAACCTCGGAATTTTAAAATGATTTTTATAATTTTTTAACGTTATTAACATTATTATTAACATAAAATAAGCATGACCTTAAGTTTGCTTTTCAACCCTTTTAATTTTAATTCAGTCAATTAAAATGTTGTTCATTAAATATTTTCATACTATTTTCATATACAAAAATACTAATATAGAATAAAATAAACGCAATACCAAGTGCAAACGGGTCAGGAATGAAAATCAAATTGGTGGGGTGACCAACCATTTTTGTCCACATCCCACTGTAGTCTCTTATCGTAATGGAATAACCCACTTTAGATTAAAACTTTGCATTCCGTTGTGGAATTGTGCCACTGAGCCATTAGCAGGATTAGTATTCCTGCATCCAAAGTGTCACTGTGTATCGCTATCTCTATAACCAGCCAATCCCATAGTCTCAAAACACCTATAGGAACGAGTGCAAGCACACGCAGAATTCTCCATAGTAATCATAAGCTGTAATTGCACTTCCTCTGCCTCTTTAATTATGGTGTTCATTTCCCGGGACCCCGTGAGGGCGGTGGCGGTGAGAATGCTACATCCCAGGGTTAATCCGACTCTCTCTCTGGACGATAGGGCCAGGTTGTTAGCCGAGCACCAAAGAGCCATTAGCATATTAGCTAATTAGATTCACGATGATGGGAGACATCGAAGCTCAGCATGCATGTGTGCAGTGGGTGGCTGTGGATCATGGCGCTGGCAGCTCACACACTCATGGGCACTGAACCGTGATACAGTGAGCCATGGAGACCCATACAGAACATCAAGAGCTCATACATTATGGCACAGACAGAAAGCTAAACTGAATGATGTACACTCACTCATTCTAACATTTGAGACATTATTTTATGGTTGCACAAAAATCGCATGTGGCGATATAATAAAAATGCAACAACTCATGGTACTGCTACAAAGATTGAAGGGTACAAAAACAAAGAGTCTCCAATTTCAAGGGGCTACATGTAGAATTCAGAAACCCTTGTTATTTAACCCTTGTTATTAGCGACACCGGTGGCCATTAAATTAATTGTAGCCAGCAACTTATTGCTGATGCTTGCACTCGAGCACACGTAACATACAAGAGAATGTGATTCAATGCCTGATATACTTAAGGCGAAGTTCTTTTTTAAGCATTCGTTTCATAAGTCATAGAATGGAAGAGAGGCTATCAGGAACGCACGTAAATGTCACATCCTTTGATTTTCCTTATGCTTTTGAGTCCTTCATATAAAAATAAGTCTACAGGCTTTCATAGACAACCTAGAAAGTGGTGTTTTTTAAGTTTAGTTACAAGATGTTCACACATTGGCAATAAAAAAGCTAATAATACATTAAAATTCTTACATATAGCCCTAAAATTCTTACATATAGCCCCTTTAAGTCATTAAGTCATTGCTCATGCTCTGCCAGAGAAAATAGTTACTCTTTAATATTGTTGATACTTGCTCAAAGTCAGATGTCTAGTTTGTTTGTTTTTTTAAAAAGCTCTCTTTACACTCGTACCTGAACTGAGAAGTGGACTTATTTTAAAGAATAGTGTCTCAGTGCAATTTTGGTACATACAAGTTGAAAATATTGTCATATTTTTATCAATAATAATAATTATATTAAACTATTATATGAAAACATTGATTAAATAACAGTATTCATATTTAAATTAATACTGAATTATATAATAATATTATGATAATTATTATTATTATTTGAAAGTATTTTTGTTATACAAAATGGAATAAAAGCTTCTTTCTGTAATGCATTACAATATTTTCATTCTTATTCAGATTTGTATTCTTATCACTTCAATAATATTATAATTAATATATTATTAAATAATAATAGTAATACAACTACATGAAAATATAGTAATATAAAAAAGCTTTTCCATTCAAACAATATTTCCATTCTTATTCTAAATATGATTCTTATTATATCACTACTATTAAATATTACAAGTAATATTTATAATTATTAATAATAATAATAATAATAATGATAATACATCTTTAGAGTTTTAGTGTGTAGCTGACAATAGTTTTTACACTTTTGTAAAATAGTTTTTATGTCCCTTTCGTTAACCCAGTCTTACCTTATTAGAGATTTGCATAATAACTAGAGCAGGTTAGAAATGCTTTAAATTAGGTGAATGTGAAAAAGACTATAGACTTGAAACACACTATAGATTTAAATCATGATACATCAAGCATTTCTAATATCCAGCAAGTAACATTTCCACCACAAGCTTTTTACAACTGTTCGTATCTATAGGGAGAACTGATAGATAAGGCCATAAAATGTTGTCTACTGTGGGCTGGATATTAAAAATGAATAGCAAATATGTTAACAATAACCAAAATCAAAAAATAGATAGCTTGGAGGACAAACACCTCACCAGCAATGATCCCTCTAGGCTGCGAGAACGGCCGAGCACTTCTGATGTTGCTCACGCATAGAGCGAAATGAATTCAGCACAGAAGGCAGACTCAAAAAAGGAAGGGCTTACTTGAATCAGAGCTAAATTAATGGGCATGGCTTCAACCGAAGTCTATTGATTTTCACTATTAAACTGAAGATGTGAGAAATCATATGGAAATATCCATCGCTGATTAATTCATGAGAAAAGGACCACATGCTAAATTTATAGCTGCATTAAATGGAATAGAAAACCATTTCCAAACATATGGTTTGTCCAATCGAAATAGACTTTGCTCATCAAGAACAACACAGATTAAATGCTCACCAAAACGCATGTTAGCAAATCTGGACGTTAGCAGGTGCAAGTAACCCTATTTCTTTGGGGACTGTATTATAAGTTGTATTATAAGAGTTTAGATAGAGACATTTGAATAGTACTAATATTCACGTAAACTTACCAAACTAAGCATAAACTATCTTATCTAAAGCATTGAATCATTACTGTGCACTTACAGCTGAAACGGAGCATCCAGCAGCCGTTGAGGACTCCCTGCAGTGTGGTCAGGATAGAGGGCATGATGGGAACATCTGGTACAACCACATGGGTGACTGGAGAGACATTTAATCAAAGAGTGAAGCAATTAATCACACGAAATAAACAAATAAATGACTAGTAATATGGTAATATATTACATCTGTATTCATTTCTATTGAGAACTAAGCAATGTAATCATTAAATATTCACTGGTTATGTCTAAAGCTCACTTGAATTCATTCATGATCATCAGATGTGGCATTATGATTCTTTGAAAAGCAGTGTGAAATTAAAATACTGTCAGTTAAGTTGTTGATTAACCAGATAGTTAATTTGTTACTCTCAGTGTTATTTTAGTAGTATCTACTGTATTATATACACTCACCGGCCACTTTATTAGGTACCCCATGCTAGTAACGGGTTGGACCCCCTTTTGCCTTCAGAACTGCCTCAATTCTTCGTGGCATAGATTCAACAAGGTGCTGGAAGCATTCCTCAGGGAGTTTGGTCCATATTGACATGATGGCATCACACAGTTGCCGCAGATTTGTCGGCTGCACATCCATGATGCGAATCTCCCGTTCCACCACATCCCAAAGATGCTCTATTGGGTTGAGATCTGGTGACTGTGGAGGCCATTTTAGTACAGTGAACTCATTGTCATGTTCAAGAAACCAATTTGAAATGATTAGAGCTTTGTGACATGGTGGAAGTAGCCATCAGAGGATGGGTACATGGTGGCCATAAAGGGATGGACATGGTCAGAAACAATGCTCAGGTAGGCCGTGGCATTTAAACGATGCCCAATTGGCACTAAGGGGCCTAAAGTGTGCCAGGAAAACATCCCCCACACCATTACACCACCACCACCAGCCTGCACAGTGGTAACAAGGCATGATGGTTCCATGTTCTCATTCTGTTTACGCCAAATTCTGACTCTAACATCTGAATGTCTCAACAGAAATCGAGACTCATCAGACCAGGCAACATTTTTCCAGTCTTCAACTGTTCAATTTTGGTGAGCTCTTGCAAATTGTAGCCTCTTTTTCCTATTTGTAGTGGAGATGAGTGGTACCCGGTGGAGTCTTCTGCTGTTGTAGCCCATCCGCCTCAAGGTTGTGCGTGTTGTGGCTTCACAAATGCTTTGCTGCATACCTCGGTTGTAACGAGTGGTTATTTCAGTCACTGTTGCCCTTCTATCAGCTCGAACCAGTCTGGCCATTCTCCTCTGACCTCTGGCATCAACAAGGCATTTCCGCCCACAGAACTGCCGCTCACTGGATGTTTTTTCTTTTTCGGACCATTCTCTGTAAACCCTAGAGATGGTTGTGCGTGAAAATCCCAGTAGATTAGCAGTTTCTGAAATACTCAGACCAGCCCTTCTGGCACCAACAATCATGCCACGTTCAAAGTCACTCAAATCAACTTTCTTCCCCATACTGATGCTTGGTTTGAACTGCAGGAGATTGTCTTGACCATGTCTACATGCCTAAATGCACTGAGTTGCCGCCATGTGATTGGCTGCTTAGAAATTAAGTGTTAACGAGCAGTTGGACAGGTGTACCTAATAAAGTGGCCGGTGAGTGTATATACACTATTATAGTATTAATTATTTTGAAATGGCTTTTATTTTTATAGTTTCAGTTTTTAGTCATTTTATGTGCCGTTATCATTTGTATTTGTTTTTTTGTTTTTTTTTCAAGTTATCTTTCATTTATTTTTATTTCAGTTTTAGTACTTCAACTCAAACTTATTTCAGTTACACACAAAAAATTGTTTCATTGTGGTTCATGCTGCCTTAAAAAAGTTCAATCAAAGGGACATGGTGATGAAAAAAAATGAGATGAAAATGTCAATGCTTTTGCGTTCTCTAGCAAATGTTTTGCGTCCCCGAGAAACTTTTGAGTTCTTTGCGAGCGAACGCAAAGTTTTTCAAGGGAACGGAAAAGTTTTGCGAGGGAAAGCAAAAGCATTGACATTCTTTTCTCCCATTTCATATTTTTTATTCCATCACCATGTTCCTTTAAGGGCTCCGTAAATATTTTAATTTCGAGGTTTTATTTAATTTACCAAACTGTCTTTATAGTTTTAATACAATTGATGTACAACACTGCACACAATAGACAAAGACACTACATAGAAGCACCTAATATAGAAGTAGTATGCTACACTTCGTCAAGCCCTAGGGATCCTTTTAATTCTAGAAAACGCAAAGCTCCCCTCTTTGTTGTGTGACAAACGCACAGCCTACATTCTTCGAGAAAATTGCATTTTGCCCTTGTTCAGCTATGTGCAGCGTATGAGAAACCGCTTCAATTACTTTAATTCTACTCTGTTTCAACTTTGATTGCTCAGAAGATGAGACACTGCACATTGTTTGTCTGTTGGTGTGATTTCTGGAGGAGTCGAAAGACTCTGCGAGAGCTACATTTGTCACTGAAAGTGCTGGTTTCATAATGTATGATTTCATAATATCCTTCTTATGCTCCAGCTGGATGCCTTGTAATGCTCTTCTATGTGATGGAAGAAAGGCAAAGAAAGAAGAGACACTTCATTTCACTGCTCAGAAAATGTTTCATTGTCGTCTCCAAGGGCTGAGCCGTCCACGAAGTGTTGGAATAGTTTTATCCTCAGCAGACACAAAAAAATATTAAGACCTGACATGCAATTAAATTTGACATTTATTCTGATTAAATGCCACATATTTCATGATAATATGTATTAAATGATTATATGAAGGAAAATTAGCATGTCAAAAAATCTGTTTCGATGATTTTTTAGCACATAAACTATCCTACACCATTGGTGATATAAACACTCATATGCTTATGCTTATGTAAATAAGCTTATTCTGCCACCATGTTCATTTGATTGGTCCATTGTTTTAAACCCGATATTAGACTGTGCTGCATTTTAAAAGTTAGAAAAATAACATTTTCAACCTCACAAAATGTATTAAAAGCTATTTTACAGCTTTGAATGTGGTTCTTTCAATCAGAATTTAGTCTAAACTTTTTTGCTGTTTTGAGTATTTTGTTTGCAACTGATGTTAAATAATATGAAGCTGTTTTGTCTTCATTGGTTATTTTGTTTTCGTAAGTAAAGAAATAAGTTCTCTTACGAGAGGTTCTCTCATACTGCGTAATATCTTACGCTAGGGGAAAACCTCTTTTCCACGAGATATTGAAGCCAAAAATTATCCTTAATATTGAATTAATGTAAAACGCGTTGCGGCAGCATGCAGACATAGGCAAGACGGCTCGCGTGCCTATTGGCTGTCCTGCGGCAACTGCAGCAGCCTATCGAGAGAGGCCCTTGGTGACGTCAGATCCAATGGGGGCGCTTCGTACCCACTACGTCACCTCCCGCCAAAGCGGGCGTGGCCTGGGCCTATAAATATAGCTCGATGGGCTGATATAATCTGATTTTTCATCTCTTCAGCGAAGCTCACGCATCGCTGGATCCGGAGTGAAGAAGCCATGCCGTTTGAGAAAAAAGCCTTCTGTGGGACGAGCCTCTGCATCTGAAGCCGCTGGCCTTCATCTCATCTCTTGTCCAACCCGCGACAGCTCGCTGGTTCGCCTGCCAGCTTCGCCAGCTTCACTCGGGTCGCTCGCCGACGACGAGGCAGCTGCATCTATGGAGGAGGCCAGCTGCTCTATCCTGGCGTCGGACAGTGAGGAGTGAGCGAGCTCCGTGGACCTCCCCCTCTGCCCGCGAGTCGTCAGGGAAACGGGCCAGCATCGAGTCGGAACTGATGCGTCTGCTCTCACAGGCGGTGGCGAGCCTCGGCCTCGAGTGGGAGGCGCCCACGCGCAATCGGCTGGACGCATGTTTCCTGCAAAAGGACCGCGTCCCACCGCCTTCTAGGCCCGCACCTTTTCTTCCTGAGCTTCATGAAGAAGTCGCGAAGTCCTGGAACGCCCCCTTTTCAGCCAGAGTGCGCACCTCTGTCTCAGCAGCATTCTCTGTGGTGGACGGTGCGAAAGACAGAGGATACCAATCTCTTCCTCCTGTGGAAGAAGCTGTAGCGGCCCATCTTTGCCCGCCCTCTGCTGGACGGCGAGCTAAGACGGCGTTACCTTCCAAAGCTTGCCGAACTACTTCCGCCATGCACTCCAGTGCTTATTCCGCTGCTGGGCAGGCTGTGTCGGCATTGCATTCAATGGCCATACTGCAGATACTTCAGGCCGACCTTCTCCGAAAACTGGATGAGGAAGGACCGGAAGATATCAGCGTGCCGGATCTAAGGAGCGCTACGGACCTGGCTCTTCGCGCTGCAAAATCCGCTGCACAGGCCATTGGGCGGACCATGGCCTCTCTCACCGTCGCTGAGACACCTTTGGCTGACGCTATCTGAGATGCCGGACTCGGAGCGCTCTGTGTTCCTCGACGCACCCATCTCCCCAGCTGGCCTCTTTTTTGGATCATCCGTCAAAGATTTCGCGGATAGATTCGCCGAGGTTCAGAAGACGTCACAGGCTATGAAGCACTTCCTCCCGAAGCGCTCTAGCTCCGCAGCAGGTCGCTCAAAACAGCCGTCTGCTCGAAGCTCCCAGCCACAGCCACCAGCCACAGCCGCAGCTTCACAGCGTCGTCAAGCCCGGGACCAGAGACCACGCTCTATCTCTGCTGTCCACCTCCCCCCCTCCGCGTGGGCCCCGGCCGAAGATTGAGATAAAGAAGTCGCGTTATCGGCGCGCCCCCGCCTCGAACGCTGCAAGCACAGTGTTTACGTTACAGCACACCAAAGCTCTCCTAATCGCCACTACATTGCGGTCAGAGCCCAGATCTCATTCTACCCCTAGCTATTCATGTAAATGCGTGGGCAAAGCTTCCCGGGGTATCAGAATGGGTGCTGAACATTATAAAAAGAGGCTATTCGCTGCAGTTCGCTCGACGTCCCCGCTGTTACACGGCGCGGGTCGAAACTAAGGTAAAAACCGAAGTAGCCCATCTACTTCGAGCCGAAATAGCGAAACTATTGAGCAAAGGGGCAATAGAGCCTTTATCTCAAGCTCAGAGCGAAGGGGGCCTATACAGCAGATATTTTCTGGTACCGAAAAAAGACGGG